TAAAGCAGAGATGCAACAGATTTTGGAAGAACATTTTAAACTACTACTGCTTTATTTGTTTCCAGTGATTAAATGTGAATAAACGGTGATGTTTAAAAAAATCTAAGTAAGCTGCAATACACAACAATAATATGAGTGCCCAGAATGATCCTTAGCTTCAGTTAAAACAACTCAAATGTGTATCCTTACTGATTAAGCATCCAGAGGTCACGTGACCCAACATGAACAAATCCTGGTGATGCGAGGCCCAAACACAAATCAATACGAGCTACTGTTTCTAAGCAATTCAGCATCTTTTCCCAGCACAGCTTTTGTTTTAACACATTTCATCAATTAGACCGACACCTATCAATTTCTTTCAATTACATCCACATGTACAAAGTGCAATGTTATCTGACAGTGCTGTAAGCCCAAACAAACACACTCCATCACAGCATGTTTTAACCAGACAAATACAAACCTTACTTTCACACATCTCACAGTGCAAACAAAACACACTCAACCTTGACATAACATAACCTTTCTCTGTGATTTTAAACTGATGAAGGGCAAACAATGGAAACCAATAGATACAGTACACACACACAGTTTACTGGTGGTTATATGACAAAGAAAATCCCTTATCCTTCTAAGCTGATCAGGCCTGTAACATATGAGCTGGACTCCTGGCTCGATAATTACATTGTACATGGCATCTAATTAAATGTCCATAAGCAGGGAGATCCAGGAGTAGGCGTGTGTGTGTGTGTGTGTGTGTGGTGTGTGTGTGTGTGTGTGTGTGTGTGTGTGTGTGTGTGTGTGTGTGTGTGTGTGTGTGTGTGTGGTGTGTGTGTGTGTGTGTGTGTGTGTGTGTGTGTGTGTGTGTGTGTGTGTGTGTGTGTTGTGTGGTGTGTGTGTGTGTGTGTTGGGTGTGTGTGTGTGTTTGTGTGTGTGTGTGTGTGTGTGTGTGTGTGTGTGTGTGTGTGTGTGTGTGTGTGTGTGGTGTGTGTGTGTCAGAGAGATTTGGGTGTGATTGGGTGTGTGTATGTTTGCGTACTGAGCCCCTCAATCCCGTGTTCCCGGAGGGAAAACGCTGCAATCACTCCATTAGCGAAAGAGGGAGCGGGACAGGGATGCTGGGAGAAAGCAGAGGGAGTAAGAGAGAGGGGTGTGGGGAAGGAAGGGAGGGAGGATGGAACACAGCTGACTTGGCCAATAACAGCAAATGAGGTTAGATACAAGCAGAGAGGGAGGCAGGGGGGGTCAATGAGCGTAGAGGACATGGACACAATGACTAGAACATGGGATGGGAGGAGCAAGGGAGGGAGGTGAGTGACAGCAGATAAAGAGGAGTGGGAACAGGGGGGGGGGGGGTTGAAGTGTAAAAACAGACAGATGAGAGAGTGAGAGAAATGGAGACAGAGGAGACAATCAAGGTAAGAAAGGCAGGATTAGTGAAGGGTCAGATATGGCTGCAGAGTGTTCAGTCGCTGCCAGGCGGCTTATTGTCTCAGGTTCTCCTCTCACAACAACAGCACACTCACATAGTGGAAATGTGAGGAACCCGATATACATGTGCAAAAATGGCATGCTTATAATGTAAGAGCATGTAAGCATACACATGTATAAACACATACACACAGACAGACACACACACACACGTGCACGGCTCACTGCATTACGCTCATCAAATATAGATTGTAAACACATTACAAGGTCATGGCACCGCGTGTAAACTGAAACTAGCCCTTGTGGGGAAACACACTGCAGGATCGTTGGCCTTTAATCGACCTAATTGATCACATGAGAGGGATTTAAAGGCAGTTATTTTTTTTAAATACATCTGAGTACACCATTTTGCAGACTAATTCTATGTGCATTTGTAGTTACTCATTTGAATTGACTTAAAATCAAATTTTTTAAGTCAAGTTATTCCGTCATATATTTCTGTTTACAATTGTTTTACTGCTATAAATTTGTACTGCAAATCATTTTATTATTGTTTTTTTTTATTACATCTTCGCTTTTTTCCATGATCTAAACATGGAAGACAATTAATAATAGATTGGCTTCTTTTCATTGTGTTTCTACCATTTATGATTTTGTTAGATATCTAATGGATAAAATGGCCTCCGACTGGTCAGCTCCGTATCTGGGCAGACATTTTAGGAGAAACACACAAGCTTGAAATCTATATGGCTGGATCAATATGTCACAGAGGTTACTGCGGGCACCACAGTTGACACTGTTGATTAAACAAACTAGGGGAATTGATGTGAAATTGTTAAAAATGACCCCAATAATGCTACAGAATGGATTTCCTTTAATCATTGCATTAATGCTGAATGACTGGGCTGTGTGTGTGTCTGTTTCCAGGAGCAACAATAAAGCACTCGTATAAGCCACAAGAACAGTCTAATAATCAAAATCCAGAGAAAGAAAGATAGAGAGACTCAGAACGGCAGGCTTCAATTCTTGTTCCTCACAACGCAGGAGAGATTGATGGCTGCATTCAGGATTTCTACACACCACTAATTGGATTCACAGGTCATTAGATAATGTACACGAGTGAGACGGTTACAGCCTAAAGACTGAGGGAGGAGAGAGAGAGACAGGAAAAAGGGAGAAGGGTGCGAGATGGGCAATATTGATGAGGTTGTTTGGTTCAGGACCAATGAAATGTCGTCCCCCTGTGCTGCGCCTCCAGAGGCCTGTTTCCCCACACAGAGTGGGGGTTGATCGATAATTCGTGCAGCAGGAAAAAAGCGGGGGTTGGAGACAGAGCTGAGAGGATGGGAAATAAAGAGAGTGAGTTGACGTCTAATGCGTGGTTCACTTACACGGATCTCAAGTTGCCTGTTGTCTCTCCTTTTCAATATATTGTGGCAAGAGAAGGAAATTACACTGACCATTATGTGCCACAAAGAAGTGGAATGAGGGGGTGACAATGTTTTCCCTCCCACAGTATGAAGTCTGTGCCCCTCTAGATGAAGGTTGGTCAGTTTATACCAACGTGTTCAAATACAACCTATAAGCTATCACCCTAAAAGAGGATTTAGCACTGGTCTAGTAAATAGAGCTTGAGGTGAATTGTAGCTGCCGTAGTGACAATCTTTTTATGATGTGTGTCCCAGCGACAGAGTGAGCTCATTTAGAAAACACTGTACTTGTTTAGAGAGCCAGCGGGGCTTGTTGTTTTAACATAGGGGGACAAGGGTACAGTCTGCTCAAACACATACAGGCATGCAGATGGCTGTTCATTAATTACAGATGGATGGGGGGGAGCAATAAAAAGCGAGAGACGCTGACGGAGAAAGAGAGAGAGGGGTCAGCTTGTATTCTCTCTCCCTCCCTGGACAATTGCCTCTGTCTGCCCCAGACCTCTCCTGGCACTCTTAATCAAGGTGCAGGTGCGTGGGCTTTTTGTGTGAATGTGTGTATGCGCATGTGCGGCAGGAACACAAGGAGGGGTTCCTGCCGTCTTCAGCACTCTGTAGCAGCACTCCGATTAAAGCCCTGCTGCTGTGGGGCCTGGCTGTCCTCCCCTCTGCAGGGCCTCACGCTCACCTTAAAACCCCTTTACACACAGCCACTGCCCTGCACACATGAAACTAAAGCCTTTAAAACACCTACCTAAAATGCACACACACACACACATATATATATATATATATATATATATACACATAGACTACTCCACCTTTTCCCAAAGTGGTGTGTGTGTGTGGCCTCGGAGCTGACCTCCCATCATCACCCTGGCTGTTGGAAACCATTACTTTGGCCCCCTGGGGCCCGGCCGCCCCCTCACAGGGCCCTCTGCACTCTGCTTCGACAACCAATCTGTTAAAAGACAGAAAATGCTCGCCCCAGCAGGGTTGTGGCTTCATTTGGCAACATATCCAGTCTTTATTCCAAAAGTCTTTGCACATTAAATGGCAGCCACATTACTGCCAACCTGCAGCAAAATGTGTTCCGCATGCATGGCAGCTGGAAACCTTACAAAGCATCAATTAAAAACAATCAATTTAATGCCTCACCGGTAGGTTAACATTTGGTGAACCCTAGATGGAAAATTCACTCCGCCAAAAGAAACACTTGTATGGTTCCACTGACCTCTGTGGAAATCCAATATGGAGCAAACAATTTGTATTCGACATGTAAAATCACCCAGTTTGATAATATAGCATTTCAAGATTATATATTGATCTAAGATAGTCTGAATGGCTTGCAGGTAGCTGTGAGATATTCATGTTTTCTATAGCAGGCAGGATGTCACCGCATTTCAGTTACATCCTTTTTCATCAGCATGAACAAAGGCAAATCTGTCGGCTGACCTCAAATGCAACTTCCCCTTTAGCAAACATTGAAAACGCAGTGTGGGAAAATCAATTTGTCTGTCTGCGTGTGTGTATGATACATGTTAGGTGTCCTATTGCAGAGGAAACAAAGAGCCACTTCACTAAAATGACTGAGCCTGATGAATAAGCCATCCTCTGTAGCAAATTAAAAACGAATAACTTTCTTTATTCAGCAAAAGAGGCAATTTGGGCACATTAGGTTGTAAAATAAATCAATTAAAATCTGGTGACGGTGTCTTTCGTTAAATCAATTAAGTGCATCGACAAACATCTTTACTTCCATTACAGGCATTATTACACTGCCAGTGGATCGCAAAGGTGCTTAATATTCAAGCCTGATTCTCAGAGGGATTTCTTTCCACACAACCCGTTAAAAGAAAAAACCTCCGGACACAAACTGATTATAAATTACATTTCACTATGATTTTTATTCTAATCATTCTACAACAGTGAAACAAAAATGTGCGCACCAGAATCTCCTTATTACAGTGCACGCCACATTGGAGCCCTGATATCTTCTGGCATTTTTGCTCACTAGGAACAGCAGTTGTTTGTTTTGCAGCTTGTGACACGGATGGGTGAGCAGATTAGTGGTGAAACTGAGGCCAGTTCAAGGACACAAGGTCATAAAACCGGACACACAGGAAGTGAAGATGTACTCACCAGCTTGAAATCCTGAATGCTACAAATGAAATAGGGAGTGTTGGGCCGGCGACTTTCAATGTACACACAATCTGCAAGGGAGAGAAAAAGGGAAAATAGGTTAGCTTGAAAGAAGATGTTCACACTTCCCAAAGCTTCCACATAGAGTCAGTAATAGATGATTTTGGTTGCCATTACCTCTGCTGAAAAGACACTTTTCTCCTCGAGTCAAATTCAATTGGAATGTGAGTAATAGGATTAAGGACTTTTGGAGCGCTACAAGGTTGCCTTTCCAAAGCAAACATTACACCCAAGGGGAACTATGTTATTGTTCCACTTTGTATACACCAGTGAGTAATACTGGCTTTAACCCCGCCCCCCTCCTACAAAATGACATCTCCTGTCATCGCAGCTATACGGTACATGTTCAGCAACATTTGAGTTAGCTTAGCAATGAGACCCAAAAAAAAGAATTCACCTCAGGTTTTTAAAATGTTGCCAAATGACATAACCCTCCCAAGTGTTAAAGCAGCCTGCTCACATTGTGTGAGAGGAGGTGGCCCTGGCCGGCTGTGCTGCTAAATTGAATGTGACTGGTGGTATGGCCAGGTCGCGAACCCTCATCCCCTTAACAAAAACATTCACGCTGCAGAGGACAAAAACACACAGCCACTTCTGTGGAGAAGAAAGAGACGGGGGGGTGGGGGACACGGCTAATGGTTACAGCTAAGCCTGCCACAGTACTTTCAAGAAACAGCCAAGGGTTAGAATTATTAGAGAAAAAGAGATTTGAATCCACAAAAGGCAAATTAGCATAATAGTCTCCCGTTCACCTTTTGCTTTTAGCTGAAAGACAAAACCAGGCGTGATCAAACAAAGAGAAAAATAAAGATGTTTTTTAGTTTAAATAATAATCTGTCAAGGACAGTTCTTGTTTGTTTGACAGGAAAAGCATTTGAAAGCCACCGACACTTAATTGATTGAAATGTACAACACACATTGACCTTGCTTACAGATGGAAGCATTGCACCAAGCTCCTTGACTACTGGTTTGGCCTGTTGTTGGTGCAGCAGAGCGAAGCACTCTCGCTCACATTAACAAACACACACACAAAAGGCCATAAACACAGATACTATCTTAAGCTTTGTCTCAAAAAAGCTACCATAGGTAACATTTGCACTGACAACACAAACGTGCCTGTGCTCATTTCACCCACACAAATGCTGAGCTGTTCCTTGCACAAACACTCGGCTCCACTTTCCCTAACAAAAGATGAGCAGCCAAGCTTTTTTCAGTGACTGACAGTGCCATCATCTGTTATTTATTTGTTTGTGTCAACAGAGTTATCGATCTGGCTGTGGTTTATCTTACCGCTTGCAGAGGAAAAGAGGGGTAGCAAAGATATTAAATGGCTCTGACACCCAAGATACCATTTGTAGAGGGGCTGCTGTGTGAACGAGTGCGTCTGTGAGATCATGGCCTTTGTTTTTGAGAGCGTGTTTTTGAGAGCGTGTGTGTGTGCGTGTGCGTGTGTGTGTGTGTGTGTAACCCCAGGGTGGGCTTGTTATCTGCTGTGGGCTGAATGAGCTGTTCCAAGGGGAGGGGGGGGTTTATCGCCCTTGCTGGCTCTGAGTGACGCATTATATCTCTCTCACTACTGCCCTGTTCTCGCTTTACCCTCTCCCTCCTTTTCCTCCCTCCTCTACACCATCCCTGGAAGTCATTTACAAGATAACATGAATGAAAATATCCATCAGTGCTATTGTGTGATCTTTGAGCAACACAGTGGCGTGGTGTGTGTGTTAAGAGAGACGGAGAGAAGCGGATAGAGGAGGAGGGAGCAATAAGAGGGAGAGGGGGAGGGCCGAGAACAAAAGAGACTAATCTAAATGAGATGACATGTTTCGGAGGAGTCAAATCGAAGGAATTAGGGTTTAGTGTCCCTTCACCTCGTCGGCACATTCATTTAGAGGGGCCAGATCTCTGTGTCTGCACCCCAGAGCGCACCACCAGGCATAAAGAGTCGACTGCGAGAGTGAAAAAGATAGGTTGGTGGGAAAAAAGCGAGAGAGGGATCTAGTTTAATCATTCACAGACAGCACGCAAGTCTATTCTTCGAACGTCAAGAGCACATTTTGAATTCATTCTGGGCACTAAAAAGTCGACTACCTCAAGGGCATTTCTCTGAAAACGACGTGAATCTCTGTGAATGTGAAAGTTAAAACCCACTTAATGCACCAGACTCAGCCGTTCCAACGAAAAGGAGGCTACGGAGCTCAGGGAGGTTTGGCGGGGTGAGGGTGGAGGGGGGGGGGGGGCTTGTCGAAGCGGGCCACAGGGTTCCTCCGGGGGTCTGCCTTGCTTGTTAGACATTCCTGCCATTTTGTGCATTTGGAAGTGGGTCTCCTCGCTCAAGTGGAGAAGAAGTGGAAAAGGGGAGGGACGAGAGGTTTGGCTGTGGCGGGGGTCTACGCGGGGGGATGGGCAGTTTTCTTTGGGGTTGAAGTGTGTGCTCGTTGGATGGATGTAGCCTTCGCTGTAGGAGGGAGGACCACAGCGGGGCCTTTGTAGTAGAGTGCTCTCACTCCCTCTGCAGCTGTTAACTTCTTCTCCACCCCACGATCCACTGCCACCACCCAGACAGATCGAGAGCAGAGAAAGTTCAATACTTTGACACGGGGAGATAATCGTGATGCCAGTGGCACTGACACCTGATCCTGGCGGTCACTGTTTCTCCAATTACATTGTCACTGCTGAGTTCAGACGACAGAATATTCATTGTTGTACCCTCATGACACACACACACAGCAATTTTCTCAGCTGTAGCCCTTTGTTCAGCCAGCCATTCTCTCATGGCTGCCAAGCATGCCTAATCTAAAACACACCTAGCCTCAGCAAAAGAGCCGTGTCCTACTCTCTGTATCAAGCTAAATAAGATGCTGTTTAATTTGCTGCAGCGTTTCAGCGGAGGGGAGGGGGAGTTCTTAGATAATATCAGCCTGGCTTTTTTTTTTAACGAGGCGAGCAACAATGGAAGAGTCACATTCTGAACACGGTTGTAAATGCCAATATTTTGTAAACAGTGGTTGGGCGGGTGGTTGGTGCTGTGGGATGAGATCAGCTTGTTTAAGCCGGGCCTGCAGGTGGTTACTGTTAGCCATGAGGCAGGACGCACCTGCATTGTTAAAAAAAGGGGTGCTAGGCTCAAACTTGCAGAGCGCACACACACACGGTGAAGAAGTGCAAGGCTTTAGCAGAGCTACCCCCTTGAGTGTACTGATCCTAAAATTAAATAGCACAAGGAATGCAATAATGGAACCACAGGGGTGTGAGGGGACTAGAGGGCCAAGATACAGAGAGCATGGACCAAAGAGGGAGACTGGTGTTATTACTGATCCAGCAGCAGCTCTGGGAGGGAGACCGGCTGATGACCAAGGCTGCCTTGTGCCACTTCCTGCTGGGCCGGTCCCAGTGGGGGAGCGTGACAGGCAGACAAGGCCTTGAGGCACACGGACACTTTGATTCTTTCCCAACTTTCCTTCCTCTCTCCTCAGCCACAAGCCCAACAACTCTCGCTTCTTCACACTGGAAAAGCAAGAGGGAAATACCTGGCAAGCGATAGCATCAGCTCTCTACAATAGGGCAGGCCTACAGCTGACTGAGCTCCTAAGGGAGAACAGAGGCTCTTTGACAATCCCCCCCCTCTTCCGCCTCTCGGCTAGCCCACGCTTTCTCATTTAGCAGTCGGCAGGTGGTTGGATTTCACTAAAAAGCCCTTTTCCCAGAGTCTCCAGCGTATGGAGAGATGAGAGAGCAGAGAGGGCTTTTAAAAATAGATCGCTTCAGTTAGCGACATGCTACAGATTCACACTGCTATTTCTTAATATAAGATGACTCCAAGGGCTTTTACCAATTGTTAGCTTGACTGAAAACATAGCTAGCCTTTTTAGCACACTTGATGTGCAATGCTAATTGAGCTCCAGCCTACGGTGTCTTGGCTCTTCTTGAATAATCGATCCAACACATACTGAACATTTGACAGGCTTCTCAAGAGGATCTGTACTGAAAGCAGAATTCAAATGGGTTGTGTTCCCATGAAATGGTTTTATTTTACTCTGAATAGAACATCCATCTGAAAAAAGGCCCTTTTGAGGTTTCAATTCTAGGGTACATTCATTATAATTCACGTTTAAAAGGTAAAGGTCATTGTGCTCCAAATGGCATAATGTAACAATATCTAAAGGTTTGGTTCTAGAGCAACAGCAGAGAATAGGTCAGTCAGCTAAGCCCCTACGCTGGCTGTCCTGGTAAAGCGAGACACTTCAAAATGCTATTGCAGGGTATAAGCAGGAATCCTGAAGTCAAATGTAATACCTTTTAAGACCTTTTTTTAAGACCCTTTCCATACATTTGAAGACCTCATCGCCACTTTGAGTTTTAACCGCTTACATTGTGAGGTACATTTTACCTCACATTTACTATATACAGTATTGACTGTCCTTCCTCCTTATCTTCCAACCATTTGGACGCAAACTTGCATTTCCCCATAACGATGTTGTTTAACAACCGGCGTGAACGGACCTTCGCGCGCTATCAAGCAGTGAGCGTGCGATGTCCTGTTCAGATGACGTCAAATCCAACGGGATGCCATAAATAAACTACACAGAATCACACTACACTCCTACGCAATGATTACATTCAGGCACACTTCAGAATACAACCTCTTTGGACAATTTATATACTTATTGAAAACCAGCTACAAAATGTAATACCTTGGAAAATGCCGTTTAATACTTTTTAATAGCCTTCATTTTCGCTAAATTGATTTATCAACTTTTAATACTTTTTAAGACCCCGCGGACACCCTGTATTGTATTATAAAGCTTGTAGAACAATTTATATTGGAAGATGTAGTTTGGTAGAATAAAAACAATTCTTACATGAGTACTGTTTAAAAGAAGGTGTGTTGCTTATCGTAACAACTGGGTTTGGAGAAATACATTCATCTTTTTCAAATGTAGTTTTTGCACCTCAAGTCATGTGACGTCTAGTTTCATTATATTCAATGAGATATCTCTACGCCTCATACTCTGCAACTTACACCAAAACAAACTAGATTGATAAAGAGCACTACAGGTAAGAGGAAGAATACGCATTTTACATTTCAGGATGAACTGATCCTTTGAAGAAATACTCCCCCAACCCTTTGTCCCAAGCGTCTGAATTTCCCCGCCTATCCAAATAAGCAGTAATGGCGATAATCATTATATACGACGTGAGGAAAATTACAGCCGACATATATTAAAGAGAGAAAAAAGAAAATACACAAAGAACATGGCAGGTTTGTGTGACTGCCAACAGTCGGTCCTGAGTTAGAGGAAAAGGAGGAGGAGAGGGGGGCTGGTTATCTAGCTCTACATGTGTGACAGACATACTCCTGCTGCACTGTGAGCGTACAGTGACACACAAACACACACACACACACACAGACATATACACACACTCCCCAGGGTTCTGTGGTGGCTGCGGAAAGAAGCGCCAGCTGTCCACATCAACTGCTCCCCCAACACTCATACACACAAGGTGTTTTTCTCAGACTAGCTCTGTATAATACACTGCACTACACTAACCTATCACTTTCAAAGAAGAAATTACTGAATGCAATCAAGTCTTTATCTCCCTGAAACTAAGTGGGCCGGCTGAGGCAGTAGTGTTGTGTGACATAAAAGCGAGGTAAAGGGGCAGAAGGAGTGGGGGGTGGGGGGGGCAGGTGGTTTCCATTAGCTCTCTCCATTTTAAACAGAGCAGCCAGCCAGTCAGTTAGGAAGGAAGGAGACATGCTATGGCAACCAGCCGCCTGCAGAGCCAGGCAGAGTCCTGCTGCAGTGGAGAGAAGGGATGAGCAATGTGTTTAGTGCTGTGCGTGCTGGACTGAGCCTGTGTGTGTTGAAGGAGTGTGCTTGTTATCGATATGAAGCGTGTCTGTGACTGTCATAAGCACGCTGTGAATGCGTTTGTGGGAGCATTTATACTGTTGAATGTGCAGAAATACTGGTTATCAGAGTACCATGTATGTGTTCGTACCGACACGTTTTTTGTGTGTCTCTTTGCTCCTAGGGTGTCTCATATTGATCCTCCCATGGCAGTGTGTATAATCTCCAGAGAGGGGATCTATAATATGGGGTGGGGGGGCGAGTGCAGAGAACAGGCTCTGGAGGTGCCTGGCCGGTCCTGGGGAAGTGGAGAGAGCTCAGCCACAGGGGAAACATCGATTAGGCATGTCTGTTTCCCCCGCATCAGGTTGTTCACCTCAGCACCCGGCCGTACCAGTGTCCCGGGACAGAGTCCGCTGGACACCACCCCAGACACACTCCTCCATCCTCTCATAACAGCAGCAGAGCTACAGTTAGCTGCAGGTCTAGCTATTGGCTGATTGCACGTCTCCTTCCAGCCTTCCTCCTCCAATCGATGTGCACTAAGCCGCCTGAAGCCATCTTCAAGGGATAGAAAGGCTGAGCAGAGAGATTGGAAGGTGGCTGGAGATTGGGAGTGTGCAGACCTTTTTCGATACCAGCCGACCTGTTATTTCTTTTGTAATGACATGGGCCTGTATGTTTTCAAAACTCCCTGACACAAAAGCAATCCAAACAGTATTTTGGTTCACATTTTCTTTCCTTTTCTGCATCGCTTATCATTACTGACTTCTTCCCTCTCCCCCCTGTCTGGGGTGGTGCAAATCCCTCTCCAGGGGTGGTTAGTTTTACATATTGTGTGTCACTCGACGGCTATAAAGCGATTTAACATTTAGTAAAGCATAATCCATTGCAGGCTTTGTGCCTGCCTAAGCTGCACACATCAAATCTGATTGCAAGAAGGCTGCTAGCACTGACCAAGCAGGAGGAGGAAAACAGGCACTGCACACGCACACATGCACACGCACACATGCACACACACAGCTTATCACTTGAACAATGAACAGAGGAGACAGCAGGAGGTCAGTGGCTGAGGTGGAGGATCTTCGGCGTTGACAATAGGAGGTAAATTACAAACTAGTGTACTGACGATGGGGCCACCCACTACCCAATCCTGGCTCATCCCTAATCCAAACCAATCTAATAGCAGCTCCAGTCTTTGTGGCGGGGGCAGGCTGTGGCACTCGGCTGCTTTAGGCCTGTCTAACTAATTGAAGGAGAAGACATGAAACATAAATATTACCCATCAACCACACACTGTCAGTACTTTGTGCTTGGATGTGGAAATATAAATATTCGGCAGGGCTAATCCACTGAGACGCTTGACTTTGTTTATATGCCTTTTGAATGTTTCATTGATGTGACTGACTGCCTCCGTTTTTTTTTATAACCCCCTCTCTCTACTCCCTCCTCTCCGCATGGTTAAGTATGAGACAAAGCGCCGGTGCTCTCTCTATTAAACATGAAATGCGGTGCAAGAAAATGCTTGAATGCAGTCAGTTGCAGAGAGTTACAGAAATAGCGAGTGAGCAACAACAACACTTGGGTTCAGTGTGACTGCTTGCTTGAGGACCTCCACTGATACCAGAGCAGAGATAATTTAGCCGACAAGATTACGCAGCTAGAAGGCGAGTGTGGGGTGGGGGGGGTCTCGCTGTTTCACTGCACCCACTCCAAATTGTCCCTTTAGTTGTTGAAAAGAAAAAGCAGGGCTGAATCTTTGTGTGTATGGGTAGCTAGGTGGAGAAGAAAATCACCTCACACACTGGCTGTAATTTCCTACATCTTCCTATTAAGTACCAAAGCAATGTGGGCCGCCCCCTGCTACTTGACCTTTTGCTAGCTGCTAGATAAACGAAAAGGCTATGATGGCGGCAATAATTAAGTTGCAAGGTGGTAGCAGCGAGAACCGTCTACACACACATGAATAGATATCCTGACATACTCCTGGCAGTGAGTGTTGACATTCCCCTCGCTAATATAAGCATTTTTTTAAACAGTAGGTGAAAGAGAGGCTATGTTTACAGCTGCGGAAAAGGTTGGCCCCCTTTTTTGCATCAGACATAATAAAGACACTGCACTGCAGTTTAAACATCTCTACAGGAAACTAGAGTACATTTTTGCCCCAGAGAAGCATTCTTTCAGTGAGTCAGATGGTGCTTGGATGAAATCATGATCATGGCTGTCGTCACTATCACATCATCTAGTGAAGCACCACTTTGCTTTATTGACTTAGGCTAAGACAAAGCAGAGACTGGGTCAACTTGAAATTGATTGTATGATGCATTGGCCTCTAGCCTGAGGGAGAGCTTCTGCTGGTAGAGAGCTGCTACTCTGGAGAATCTGCGATAACTCTGCAGCGTATTGCAACTGAGATTTAAGAACATTAATTGAATTCTTAGGTATAACAAAGTTCGATATAGTGAATGGGATGTTAAGAAGTTGACTATCAGTAAACTGGGATAATTGCAGATAAGTGGACACATTACATTAGCCATGGCGAGGACTTACCTCCGGGTCTGTAAACAACATCGTCTTCTGTGATGAAGGAGGTGATTTCTCCGTTCTCTGTGCGCTCGTAGCGTGATTTCTTTTTAGGCGTCTTCTTCTTGCCTTTCTTGCCGGCCTCCTCGCCCATGCCGTTCACTCCACCTGGGGTGCCATTTTCGTTGTCCTCATCCTCACTGTGGTCGCTCTCTGCATAGTTCTTGGCCCCGCCTTCCAGCGTACAGCTGCGTCGGGGCCTGGAGCTCTCGCTCTCACGGTCGGCGTCCAGCCGGCGAGACTTACCAGACTCTCTCTTGTCCCTATCCCTGTCTCTATCTCTGTCCCGCTCTTTCTCTCTCTCCTTCTCTTTGTCGGCCGTCATGATCCGCCACGTGCCTTCCTCAGTCCTCTCACGGCTGGGCCTCCGTGAAAGGTAGACTGTGAGCCTGGGCTTCAGTCTTCTGAATTTACCAGTCAAATCCAGGGAAAATTTGGCCACACCAACAACCCCAGTGTTTCAGAAAAGCTGTGGACAAGAGAAAAAAGGACAATTAGCATATACCCATGTCAAAAACCACTATCCTTACAGTTAATAAGCTACAAGTAGAAATGGTTGTTTTGTGCTGGAGGATATTTTTTGTGGGTGAGAAATACAAGATTAGTTCCCAGAGATCAGGCAGCTGTGCTGACTCTTCTCAACATCACAGTGATTGTTGGCACTCCCCTCAACAATCATGTATACTCTGGAGAGCACTGAGTAGCTTTATCAAAGAACAGCATCTCTGAGCTTCCTGCTCAAACAGACTTCAATTCTTCCAGAGAGGCAGTAAAACAGATTTATTAAAGGGTAGAAATTGTAAAAAAAAAAAAAAAAAAAAAAGAGAGAGTGAGAAAAACCACAACGACAAGCGCTGTAAACACAATAGGCTTAAGGGAAGTCGTAAGTGAATAAGCATAAAGAGCTAGTGCTGCATTGAGGATGAGGCTGGCAGCCAATAGAATTCCTCAGAGATAATGTGTCGAGGGGCTTTTCGCACAAGACTCTGCTTGTCGTTTGCAATGCCACGGGAGACGCAGCATAAAACTCAATGACGGAGTTAACTGGCTAGCTTCTCTGCAGACCATCTGTGATGACACCAGGCTCAATTTTTACTCATCTGTGCACGTCTGTGTGTGTGTGTGTGTATGTGTACTCTGGCTTACTGGACTGAACCCCACACCACCCTCCTCCCTGGCTGACAGTCACCACTGTGTTAATATAAAGTGACAGCTCTGGAGGGAAGAACACAGCAGTCCGCTGGGTAAGGAAAGGGAGAGGGGAGAGGCTGAGTCAGTCATTTACCACGGCCGGTCTGCTGCCATTTTCAGCTATCGTAAGAAAAAAGGAACCCAGCTACTGCTCTCTCTCACGCCGTAATGAAATCCTCCATAAACAGTGAAGTCGGAAAAACAGCACGCCTTCTGCTCCACACTGCCCAATCACACTGTGCCTACAAGGGAGGCTTCTCATTTACTGCCAGTGTTTACCCCTCCACCCCCACCGCAACAAATTAACTAGAAATAGTTATTACAGCCCCCAGAGGGATCAGACCAGGCAATCAGCACTACGTTACCATGGTGGTGATAGCCGGGTTGGAGAGTGAAAAAACGGGGGGAGGGGGGGGGTAATTGAGCCAGGTAGCAGACTTTGAGTGAAAATGACACATCAGTGCATTTATTGAGAGGACTGACAAAATGTGTAATGATAGAGGGAAAGAAAAAAGGTAGAAGAAAGGATGTTGGCACACACACAGACACACGTATCCACACACAATGAAGGGCGTTTGACTACAGCGCTCCTCAGCAGCGGGTGCTGTCATCTCGTGAGCAGACACCAACTGACAGGGCAGCTGCTCTTGTCGTCGGCTTCAACACAAACACCGGGCCTGATTAAACCGCAGCCTCGTCACAGCCCCATTAATCACCTAATGATGAGTTACCACGGCGACCACTGGGCTGCCGGCATATACACACACACACACACACATTAGTACACACCGTGGACGTGAGGGCTCGAGAGTTTTCATGCATTGTGTAAGGGCGCGCACATGGTCGGATATACACCTCCATTGGTGTGCCAAAATACATACTGTGCCCCCTCCTGTGTCCATATCCAGCAGCATGCCTGGGAGGTGTGAGGAACATGAAAACATTGATGAAGGTAACATTTGATAGCACAGTTCTAATCCTGGGAGCTGCCAGAATCTGTGTATGAGCTAAGCACCTCTTCTTCCCTCTAATCAGTAACATAAGCCTCTTCCAGCGAGAGCAACGAGGACCCTGAACTGCTGCGGATGGAGGGCTGGCCCCGCTTTCCTTTGATGTTGTGGACTGCTAAAAGCCTCCATAAGTATCTTTACAATCTAGGTGCTATTAGTTTGCATCTGGATACACTTTACACAACTGCCTCATTACAAAGTCTGTATATCCAATTACCTTGCTGACGTTAACATGATTGTACTTACAAAATTCCTCACACGGACATGCGCTCGCTCTTAATTGTCTTTTACTAGTCAATTAACATTATGTCCCAGTGTCTGTGGTTAATTTGTTGCACATCAGTAGCTGTCGTCTGATGCAGATAAAAGAGCAAGTTGCAAAAACAAACTGCGTGAGTAAAAAGGAGTGACTCAGTGTGAAGTGAAGTGGTAACACTGTGGCAATGAAAAGTCATAATGTATTGATGGCTGACGGGGAAGAAAAGAGAAAGTGAGACAGAGAGAGAAAGCGAGGGGGAAGGCTCTCCACCCACAGCCGGGGAAACAAAGTGCTTAGTAGAAAGCAGCGCTGGCTGCCGGGCCGATGAATAACGCTGCGAGGGGGCAGGTGAGGTTTGGAGCTATTACACATCAATCACTGGGCCAGGACCCTTTGAAAGATACCAGCTGTCTTAATGGAAAAGAGAAGGAGGGGGCAGTGGCTGGAGAGGGGTTCAGGGGGTCTCAGGCAACGTCACCCTAATCCACAATTTACATTAGTGCAATGGAGTCAAGGACTAGCAGCCAGCAGGACCCTGCGCCAATACATTTCTCTTTTCCAAGGCTGTTGAAATGAGACCTCTGGCCTGAAAAACCACACAGTTTGTGGCTCGATTAACACATCATCCCCCACAATGGCCACACAGCAGCTTTCTGTGGCTAAACACAGCGATTTTTTTTTTTGCTCTCTCTTCATTTTCCAAACAGCCTTTTGAAAAGCTATGTTTTATTCATTCCAATCACTCCCACATTTACCCACATCCAAGCTCATCGCTGGAGTTTTAATCAAAACCTGTCCAAGGATTAACATCCAAATGAACACGCTTTGCTTCAGTACCTATAGAGCCGTAGTGTTTTTTTATTTGTATCCTGCCAAATCTTTGTAATTGATTATCTTGGATTGTAAATGTGCACATATTGGACATTATTTCATAAAGCATTATATTAAACATATAGAAATGTCTACATTTAAATGCAAAATAGATTTGAACAACAATGCCACCCACCCAGCGATCCAATTGGTTTAGGGAGAGTCACTAAAGAAGTCATTCGTGGCATATTCAATTGGAGAATTATGAAGTAGTAAAATGTGATTGGCAAGGATTTAGGGTGGGCTTTGCAAAAGGATTGAATGAAATTCTCGCCTGAATGCAGATTAGAGGAGAACAATGTTAGCATGAATATACCAGGGTTATTAACAATGAGGGCAACTCAAATTGATCCGAATAAACCAGCCAGATCTTCAGCAGTGCACAGATCCTAGCTGTGGTGATGTGGAGCTGCAGCAGGTTTTCATCAGCTCCAATCCATTACTCCAGTACGATCTAATCCAAGCTGCCATCCCAGCCCCTCAGAAACAACAGCACAGTGAAAGGCTCAGCTGGAGGCGAGGGGTAGGCCACTTCACGAGGGATTCTCTGTGGTCTCTGCACGCTGCCTGCTTTGTCTTACCTGCCGCAATCATGGCCTACTCTATTCTCCGAGGCCATCTCTGTTTTAGTTCACATTGGCGGGGCAAAGACAATTGTCTGCTCCACTTGTTTTTCAATTCACTGATGAGTAACTAAATCTTTTTTCCCTCTGCTAAAGCTGTGCTCACAAAGCATCTATTTTTAGTCTGCATCCGGGGTTAGTTTAGTAGGTAAAAGCCACGCTCGAGAAAAGATTGCTTGGGGCTTTCCAACATCAACATTTAAACCTGCCTAGAGACTACCATGGTAAAAGGAATAGCTCGGCTGCACGAGAACAGATTCTCATGCACAATGACACCGGGTGCAACAATAAACTATCGCTGTCTAGAAACATAAGGACAATATACAAAATCTCCCTGGGCAGAGAATAGCTTCTTTCTTCAATATAACAGGATACCAATAAGTCGAACATATTCTCTGTCCAGTCCACAGATACTTTCAACCACAGACACGAGGATCAGACTCAGTGCTCCACAGGCTTTAAGCCTTCCCTCCATCTCTAAAGGAAAGCTAAATCCTCCTCTAGTCCCCGTTTGTGTGCTCTCTCTGAGAGCTCCAAATGGCCCTGAGGGGGCCCCTCCACAACCCAAGGTGTCCATTATCTACAGGGTCTGTGAGCAGGACTTCATTTCGCAGCCTAATACCAGCTACTTGAAGACGCAGTCCCTCTCAGTCTGGCAGGAGGAAGCTGAAGGCCATTTCAGCAGCTCTGACTGCTTCACCGGGCATCATGTTTAGACACGGCTCCTGAGGGAAATGCCAGGGTTGTCTATTGTCAACCTTCCCTTTTCCTTTGGACGAGCCACTCCTGAGAAATGTAATTGTGAGCCGGCCAGTAAAGGACCTCTCCCAATGTGTCATTGATAAGAGAGGCAGCAGAATGTGAGGTATGTGGCGGCAGACAGCGCTATCATGGAGGTGGCTATTAATTGAGTTTGCCTGTAGATTTGTGGGCTGCCTATTTTGCGGTGTGAATAAAGTGTCTGATTTGAAAGGATTTCTAGTGTCTTTTACCTCCCGAGAGGCACTGACAATTCAATTTTTTGGTGAATTATCCTGTTGTAATGGAAATGTACTCAGAGGTAAAGCTGGGGTCAGGAGAGATATAAATATGCACTAGGGACACATTCAGGCCTGACTTGCACTTAAATATCTGTATCATATATGTTTCTTTGTGCATTTATCTCTATAAAATGGAGCAGAGCTGTGAAAGAGGGAGGGGAAATTGAGTTGCATGATATTTTCTCAATCAGATGTGTATAGTTAAAAGATTTACTGGGAAAGGGGGGGGGGGGGGGGGAAGCAACAGTGATTTTGTCCTATGTTGGAGTGAAAGGACTCTTGAGATTTAAGTATTTGAGCACTCAATCATGCACCACTTGCACTGATATTCTGCAATCAAACATCCCCACTCTTCTTCCAAGCTCTGCCTATCAGCTTAACGATCCTATCAGTCAGTTCGACTCCAACTGGTAGTCTAAATGAGCGTGGGTAAGGAGGAAATGTGTTCATATGGCTGCTCTATATCCTCCAGCTCC